ATAACTATACATCCAGAAATTCATAACTATATATCCACAGTGAATGAATGAACTAAATATCCACAATGAATGAACTAAATATCCATAAATTCATAACTATATATCCAGAAATTCATAACTATATATCCACAATAATGCTATTGCCGAGAATCGAACCTAAATTTTTTTTTTTTTTAAGTGGGACACGTATTTTTAATTTAGTCAAAACGACGTCGTTTTGCATCGTATGCACCATGCGCATGGTGCATTCGGTTGCACAGCATAACTATCGCATACCGCAAATTATGCTGTGCAACCGAATGCACCTTGCAAGGTGCATACGGTTGCAAAACGGCGCCGTTTTGGTTAAAAAAACGCGCGTCCCACTTAAAGAAGAAATCAGGTTCAATTCCCGGCAATAGCATTTTTATATATCCAGAAATTCATAACTATATAACCACAATTTCATAACTATATATCCACAATTTCATAACTATGTATCCACAGTGAATGAATGAAGTAAAAATCCACAATGAATGAATGAATGAAGTAAAAATCCACAATGAATGAATGAATGAAGTAAAAATCCACAATGAATGAACTAAATATCCACAATATATGATTGAACTAAATATCCACAATGAATGAACTAAATATCCAGAAATTCATAACTATATAACCACAATTTCATAACTATATATCCACAATTTCATAACTATATATCCACAGTGAATGAATGAAGTAAAAATCCACAATGAATGAATGAAGTAAATATCCACAATGAATGAATGAATGAAGTAAAAATCCACAATGAATGAACTAAATATCCACAATATATGATTGAACTAAATATCCACAATGAATGAACTAAATATCCATAAATTCATAACTATATAACCACAATTTCATAACTATATATCCACAATTTCATAATTATATATCCACAATAATGCTATTGCTGAGAGTCGAACCTAATTTTTTTTTAAAGTGGGATGCGCGTTTTTAATCAAAACGATGTCGTTTTGAACCGTATGCACCATGCGCATGGTACATTCGGTTGCACAGAGTAACTATTGTCATCATACGTGATGGCTAATCCCAAATCAGCTTTGTGACAATGACTATTTTTTTAATACATTATTATTATATAATTGAATTTAAATTTGTGTTAGCTACCAAACGAATTAGATTAAATTTGCTTTTTTTTTAATCTTACTAGTTCTATTATAATGTAGTATCTGTTCATATACTTTCTCAACCTACTGAAACACAAAGAACCAATAACGCCTCCACTAAGGCTCGAATTCACAACCTTCCAAATGAAAGTCCAACCCGGATACCATTAAACCACATAGGGAATGACTTCTGGATCCAAATTTGATTGGGTTTAGAGAGTTGAGAACCAGATGATGATTAGAACCTATGAGCAAGGTTTAGGGGTTTATGTGAGAAGGGAAGAGAGTTAGGAATGCAAATTTTGGGCTAGGGGTCAAAATTAAGGGGTGAAGGCGCAAAGTTTAAAGGAATGGGATATAAAGTGAAGAAGGGAGAAAGTTTGGAGGCCCAAATGCATGAAGGCATAAAGTATAGGATTTAAAGGCGCAAAATCGCAAATAATGGAAAGAGGGGACTAACGGGCTGGTTCGGTGAGGCAATCGGTTGGTGCCCGCGTGCCCAATTGCAAGTCCGCAGGGGATAGCAAATTAGCGAGGGGCGGTTGGGTGGTACTAGTGGTTGCCGGCCAACTTTTATGTCGGGGTGTGCAAAGGGGGTAAGGTGCCAAATGGCGGTCGAAAGGGATAGTGAGATGTGTGTGTGGTATGGGATTTCTAGGGTTTGTTCACTCATTTCTAGTTATTTCCAGCCTCAACAATACTATAAATAGGGGATCTAAGCTCCCTTCAGACATTATCATCTTTTGATGAGCGTTTGACCTCCCTAGTCTATTATCTATTTGTCTTCTTTTCCATTTGGACAACTTGTCTAATCTAATTTGTTTAGAAATTGTAATAACCTATATTGGGCTTAGACTTGAGTCACATTTTCAATATTATTCATTATGGACTAAAAGAAAACTTGTGGCCCAATGTCTAATTTATTTAATATTTGCATTCAATTCATTACCAATTTACCATTAACATCCTAGTTTCATGATGCGTCTAGCATGTTAAAACCATCACAAGCTCTGTTTGTGGGGACTTTTTACGAAATGTGCATGTTCCTAAAATTTTCCAACTCAAACAGTCGTTGTCTAAACCCAATCGCTTTCATTGCGGCATGAACATGATGGGATTAAGTAGTCAAACGCTCTCAAGATTTAAGAGAACTACTCAATCAACAAGAGAGGGACATTGCTACTCTTAGGACCAGGGTCGGAACCCCGACAAGAAAATCAGACGGAACAAACCAACACCCTTGCAGTCGAAGATGATGTCCAAACGGTGATAACTAACACGAGCCCCTAAGAGGTCAGGCTTAGCGTCTTGCCATTGGCCGGATAATTGGCCAACATCGTAGGCATTCAGATAGCGCATTAAAAGTGGGGGGGCACCGCCTGGTTAAGCCCAGAAAATAGCCACGAGCCCACCTCTTACGAGGTTAAGTGCCACCCAAGACGAAAAGAGGCCACGAAGGAAAGGTTGTGACAACGGAGCATAGGATACTAATGAGTGAGGGAGGGTAAGTGAAAGGGTCTTGTTAGGAGGGAACCAGAGCCTATTCCAAAGAAAGCAATGGATGAAAGTATCGACCAGTCCCTAATCATCAGGGGTCGACGGGTCCGAAAACAAAGAACGAAGGCTCAAGTCATACTCCTGGAGGGATGAGCGAATAAGGCAAGACTGGAAGAGTTTGTGCGCTAGGAAGAAGCGGGTGAGTTGTATGTAATATTGAAAATCAAAATTATACTTCCTTTCACAAGGAGAATCATAGAAGAGCCCCTACTAGACAACTTCAAAATGCCTAGTGTAAAGAGGTTTGACGCAGCAGGAAACCTACATGAACATATCTTAGCTTATCAAGTTACAATGATACTATTAAGAGCCAACGATACAGTAATTAATAAGTAGAGTGTTTTTCTCAACCCTTAGAGGGTTAGCCCATTGCTAGTTCACAGGGTTACTGAGAGGATTGATTAATTTCTTCTATGACTTAGGGGTGAATTCACAACCTACTTCATGAAGGGAAGGAAGGAGAAGAAATTCTTTTCATACTTGGTCAATAAAACAAAAACATGAAGAATCCTAACCAATTTCCTAGTTCCATGGCAGGCAGAGGTGACTGATCGAGGTTGAAGACAGAAGAAAAGCTAGTCATCACGATGTTCATAGAGATTCTAAGAGTTAGAGACTTGTACAAAAGCCTGGAGAGAAAAACTCCAACAAGTTATGGTGATAATAGCCAAAGGCGATTGACATGCTAAGGCGGAGAAGGCAAAATAAGCCAAATGGTGAGAGGATGAAGGATTTACTAAAAGACCTTAAATAGAATAATCTTCAAAAGTAAACATGAGATACCTAGACCCACCTCAAAGTTGACATGGAGGGCATGTTGGGTCAAACCCATTATTCCCAAGTGGCCCCTCGAGGTTAATCCTACAAATACTATTAATAGCTTTGATAACATGAATACATGATCGAGTGAAGTATTGGCCTACACTGAAGAATGCAATAAGGTGAGGCTACCACCGCCACCAGTTGGAGAATCCTTAGGTATTGATAAGTCAAAATATTGCCTATTCCACCAGTAATATGGAGAACAATACTAAAGAATGTTAGGGGCTTAAAAGAAATTGAGTTCCTTGTGCAAACAGGAGGGCTCAAAGATTTCATAAATTAGGACAATGTGGCTAAGAGGTATGTTTGGAAGAGGAGATGGGAATGAAATTTACCCAAAGGACAATGTGGCAAAGAGGCATATGTTTGGAAGAGGGGATCGAATGGGAATGAAATTTACCTAAATCCTCCCAAGGAGGAAAGTGGGATGATGGATAGAGATCAATGTAATCTTTGGTGGATAGGACCCCACAAAGAACATGGATAGAAATAGCGTATGCGTGGTATCTGTGGGTGATCTAACCAAGTCAACAAAACAACGAATGGAGCCCACTGTGTTTACTAACAAAAATTTACTCATAGGAGGGGTTACCCATCAAGATGTCTTAGTTGTCCCGATGGACATCAACGACACCATCATCTGGTTACCTGCCTAAAAGAAACTACAACGTGTTTCCCCTTTTTTGGTAAACAATAACAATTTTGAAAGGGGAGAATTTTATTTTAACATTTGAATTATACACGATTATTGATATAATAATATGGTCCATCATAATTAGTGTGTAAAATTAGTTTTCAAATTTGTCAATTCTATGCAATTATAAACTTTTAATCCGTCACCCTAACTTTTTTTTGTTAACCTCAATATTATGATTTATAAATCCCAATATCGAAAGATATTATAATAAAAACACATGTTCATAAAAATAAAGCATTTAAACTCCTAACTTTTTTTTAAAGAAAACCAGTACATTAAATTAATAAAAGAACCGTTAAATACATAAAGGAATAGATGACATCCAAATAAAGCATTTAACCCCTAATTATTCACAAATTTGGGACAACATAAGATCACATTATCTTGTGACCAATTAAGGGCTAATTTGACCAATTACCTTCATTCCTCATGAGTGATAGAAAATATGGAGTACGAACCTAGTGTATTTTGTAATCAAAGAAATTTTCTTCTACTTCTCAATGTTAGAGTTTATAATTTTTTTTTTTTTTTTTAAAAAAAAAAATTGAAGCTATTAGAACAAGACACAGTAAAATAAAACAAAATTGACTGTTTTGAGGACCAATTTTACTGATTTTGCAAATGTCAATTATGGAGACCAAATTCATTAGCTGTGAACTCAAAGACTAATGATTCCTTTCTCCCTTATGAAAAGAAAATTTGGACATTTCCATGCAAGTCTCATTCTAACTTTAACCTTCCATGAGATTTGAAATTTCTTGAGATTTCACTTTACACTCAATACATTTCTCTCATTTTACCGCTTTCCAAAATTTATTGCATCCATACTACCAAATACAACCTAATGTATAAGAGAGTAATACTATAAATAGCCAAAGAATAAACAAGACTCTTAACAAGAAAAATAAAATAAAATAAAATAAAATACAGAAACCCTTTTGACTTAGTATGATGTTACAACATGATGTATTAGTGTAAGGGACATACAAATTGTACAAATTGACTTCTCTGCTTTAGGAAAATCCTTCATTCTCACTTGTTACCTCTAAATCTCAACACTGCAAAACCATTTGCTCTCTCATTAACCGTCTTTTCGAGGGCTTAGTTTAACAAGAAATCATCCTCTGCTGCACAAATCTAGAGTAGCGAGATTAAGAAACCACGGGTGAGAGATCAATAATTTACAATTTACACGAAATGGCGAATGGAAGAAATCACGGAGAGGTTTACTTAACTGACCTTGAAGGAGAACCGTTCACAAAATTGGTTCCTACGATTAAAAAACAGTTGGGAAGAGGATGTACTGAACCACGATCAGATTCGAAAAGCTATGTTTCGATCATTGAGGCGAAATTGGACGGAACCTATATGCCTTCATTACTTTCATTCAGAAGAGCTGCCCTCCCGGGATTCATTAGCATCAGCTGCTGCATGTCCTTCGAGAGAATGCTAAATACCGCTTGGAGATCCCCCTTTAGCTTGTTACAAGTAGCACCAGAATCTGTATCACTGCTCCCGGAGTTCTGTAGCAACGACTTCTCATCAATGAAACATAATATGGCACATATAGAAACAAACTGATAATAATTGACTGAATGGAGGTCAATTAGATACAAGCTATGATGCACCTCGGACATGTTTCTCCCCAAGAAACTCACAGAAACTCTCCTAAAACATTTTAGGGCCGTGTTTTTAATTTAAAAAATTTGAGAATGCATTTCCTAAAAGGAACTAGTAGACTATTAATATTTATGCATGTTTTAGAAATAAATAATTGCAAATACACTCCTATATTTTTTTTTTTTTGTATTTGTACGTTTTCCTCCCGCTTCGTGCCCTCTATTTCCTTGTGTTTCTGTATCCCTATTTCCCGTTTCCGTGCTACCTAGGATATAAGTACATGGTCATGGAAATATAAAACCTATACACTAAAAAAAAAAAAAGAAGAAGAAGAAGAACAAAGATAATATCCGACTCTGTACTGGAGTTTTTAAGCAACCCATCCAAGTTTTACTGTTTCACTTAACTCTAGGCTCTCCAAGACTCCAACAGTAGAATCAATAAACTCTAGGCTCTCCATCAGTCCACCCAAGCAAGGTTGTAAAGGTGCTAGGCGCTCATCGGCGGTGGATGGGCGCCTAATCGCCGCCTAGGCAAGCGTCTAGGTTCCTTAATAAATTTTTTTATTACATTTGATAAAATAATAAAGCATTAAAGCCTAACCCTAGCCCAAAACATAAAAGTCTACCCCAAAGCTTAAAAGTTTAGCCCAAGCCCAAACTCTCCAAAGACAAAAAATTTAACCCAATTTCAAGTCCCAAAATTTCATGTCATATTTCCACCGGTGAAGCACTACCATCTCTCTTCAACTTCAGCAACCGTCATGAGCAGATGACTTCCAAGCGGCGATAGCGAGCTGCGATGATGGGCTTTGACATGCAAAAGAAATCCAGCCGTTTGACAAGGCGAGGGGCCTTGTAAAGGCGATGGGTGAGGCGGCGAGCTACGACTATGATGGGCAACCGAGCAATGGGCTACTGCGAGGGTGCAAACTTCAACAAAGGCAGTGGCGACGCATAGAGGAAAAATGGCCAACTTGACGACTTGTCCAACTAGTGGGTCAACTTGGACGACTAGTTAGACAGCCGCCTAAATGGGCGCCTACATCAGAATACGCATCAGCCTAGGGATGCCTAGCACCTATGTGGTGCCTAGGTACCCGCCTAGGCCGATTTTTGCAACACTGCACCCAAGTCCTAAATTTTACTCCCTCTATACCAGTTAAATGTGCTATTTACTGTCTGTTCAATGATGTGAAAGAATAAAAGGGATTCATTGTATTATCTGAATAGAAGTATAGAACTGTACAGAGATCTACTATTTATACAAGTATTAACCTAATGGGCCCATTCCTACAAGGAAGGCCTAGGATTTCAACACTGTCAAAACAACTATTCTTTCTTCGCTTATTTTTCTTTAGCATTTATTTACTTATAATTGTTAAACTTGGATTTTTGTGTTTAATAAAAAGTTTAATGTAGTTTCTAAAATATTAAATATATAAATTTTATTAACTATTACTAATTTAATATTACAAAAAAACTGAATTGTAAATAACTTAAGTCATCCCTGGTTAACTGGCATATAAAGTGGGACCAAGGGAGTAATAGCTTCAAAAAATTTTAGGAATAATTTTCAGCATCTAAGTTCAACAGAAGGTTGTATTGGAATTCTCAAAAATGATGTGAATATGTCACTTTTACAAGAGGGTGAAAAAAGTAAGAGTGACTGAGGAAAAGCATGGGTGCAAAGTAGGCTTTGATGCATGCATGTATAAACTTTGTTATAATTCAATACATCTGGAGACATTTGATTATGTTTTTGTCTTGGATGATTACCAAGGATCCTCTAGATTGGTTCTGATATGGTGCTTTTATTCAGTTGTTACTTATCACATACATTTTTCTCTTGCACAGTTTCTGTTTGTTATGGTTAATGTAAGGACATAAATAGAGGTTTCAGTATATAGGAGCATCTGCTATGGTCTCCTCTTCAGTCAGCTAAGTTAAACATCTTTAATCCTACAGCAGCTATTCCCGAGACTCATTTTCTGTTGAATGCTCTTTCAAGGTAAAATATGCGGGGACCTTGTTATCGGTAGCAACATTTAGGAAATCTAATTAATATGTTCACTTCTCGCCGGATTTTACAAAGCAAGCTTTCTTAGTAGGTCTCAATTTTTATCTGAGTTCTGTTTGTCTCACCAGGCAGGACATCAAGCATGGCATGGAACAAGAAACTTTTTCCTCTTCATCCGTATCATGTCATCATATCTAAATTCAAAGTTTAGGGTTTATACAAGAAATTATTTCCTTGTTAACAATCAGAATCAAGATGGACTTTAACAGGGATTAAATCAGCAAATATTTAATGCAAGCCTTTCCCAGGATGCCACATCGAGTGAGTGCTAGGATTTGATTGAAGTTTTCCACCTCAACTAAAAGCTAAGGAATCACATCTATTATTTTATATTTAATATTTATCCTCAACATGTCCACTCATATATGGACCAACTATTTTTTTTATGAACCAAACACATGGAAATATTTTGGCAAGTGGTAATTTAAACTCAAATTTACAGCCTTATGTCTACTCTGTTACCATATTGAAATATCTGTTCTACCTCAACTAAAAGTTTTAGCTCTCAGTGAGGATACACTTATTAATTTATATTTACACTAAACAGTTTAAAATCTGAACAAGAGGTGTTAAGTTAAAGTTGCATTTATAACTGGGTAAATTATTAGTTGAAGTTGTTTTTGGATAAATAAGTGCAGAATCATTTGAGCTCATGACATTTAAGTATAGAAAGTTTCAACTTAACCAACTGACCATTTATTTTAAGTTTAATGTGTCAATGCCATCACTAATTATAATGATAAGAAATAAATAAAATGGCAATCTTGCATTCTTGCCTTAAAAATAGAAAGCACTTGCCTGCATCTCCTTGATAAGATTTCTTTCAATTGCATTGAATGTATCAACTATCTCCAACTCAGACATTTGAGATATCACTTGTTTTATGTCAGTCTTCATTCTTGCTTGCCTCCATAATCTATACTGTTCATGTTCGGCAACAGCACGCCTTCTTTGAAACCAAGGAATAAAGTTATGCCCCTTCAAAAACCTCCTGCATTATATATGTAAATATCATCTCAATATGCCAAAGGGGTTTATTTTTAATTATCAACAATATAATTAATGCTATCAATAAGAACTTTGAAATACGTCAAAGGCTTTTGGTGGCCAGGTCTGTGATTAAAAGCAAAACATGCGAAATTGAATGATAAATTAATTACCTGTATAGATCCAGCCAGTTTGATGTCATCCTCTTAAGTAGAAACTTTCCAGGACCCCTTGCTGATAAGCTCGAAAGAAATTCCTCAGTTTTGAATGAGGGTAGGGAAGGAGGATCAACATACGGAGATGATCCTTCAGAAGGTGTGGTTACTCTAAAATACGGAGCAAATGGGGCCAAAAAGTTGGTCGTGAGCTCCAGGAAATGGCGGCGCAGTATCTCATTGTTAACAACCGACATTGATTCCTCTACCCGAGGTGACATGCCTGCATCAATTAGCCTGTTCAAGATTGAAGTGTCTGGTTTTGTGACTGCAGTGTATGTGGTCCAAATAGCTTCTTTGTGCTCTGTCATGAGACAGAGGGGGCCATCCCTCCTCAACTTCATAGCATTCAAAAAGTTTAAAGGTGTAAACTTCTTCAAGTTTAGATTTTGCAGACCCTGTCCATCAGGCCCCCCTGGAAGTCTGCCAGTGGAGGATCTATTAGTAAGCACAAGTCGATTTGAATTAGGAGCAGGGCTTCCAACTGAAACAGTGTGAGGTATATTACGAAGGGCTTTTAAGAAAAACAGATTGGTGACACCCAAAACCATTGGAGGAAACTTAGCACCCTCAGGAAGTGAGTTTAAATGGGCAAATTCTGGGTCATGGATAGTAAAATAAGGCCGGTAATCAATACTACAGAGAAGTGGTGCAACCAAACTAACTAGACCAGCAACAGCTTCACAACACTGAGGCGGCGTTGGTGCAATGATAAGAATAGGCTCTCCAATAAGTAGCAATTCCCACAACTTCCATAGCTGCATTAAAAGCCCTCTGAATATACCAAACAGATCTGAATCATGAAAAAGGCCCTGTGGAATTGATTGATTGGAAGGCAGAAAAGGAGCTACAGAAGAGGCTAACTCTTCAAAGAATACTCCACAATCTAAAGGTAAGCTATGAGCAGGTGGCAAGTTCACTTTAAGTGTAGCATTCCCAATGGGAAGCTCCATCAACTGACCAGGTACAGGAGCAGGCCACATTGACACATAAGCAGCTATATAATGAAGCGCTTTCTGTCCAATATCAAAATATAAAGGACCTACAATTTGTAACAGAGGTCTAAACACACCAGAGAATGGACTATGTGAAAGAATTACCACTGATTTTTGCTCACCACCCCTCTTTAGCCTCTCATCATGCCTCTGTCTATTAAATACAAAACCATACAAGTATCTCGGTTCAGTAACAGGGTTGCTTTTTATCCTTGGTTTTGAGAACTCGCCTCCTACCAACTTATCGGATGCTCGAACACTGTCAACTTCAACAATCTCAGATGACACCTGAGGTGCCACCTGAGAACCGCGCTTCTTGTGTAAGCGGAAGAAGAAGATGGAGTCATGGATGCTTGAACGGTTATGATTTTGAGAAACAGAATCTGGAAAAGAACTAAAAGCAACTTCGAGCTCCTCATTTTGTGTCAAAGAACCTGGCGGGTAACACTCTTCAATGAGTTGTCCTCGTTCAAGATCAAACCTAATGATGCAGAAGGCAACAACCCATTGTTGCAATAACTTTTCATCAACCTTCAGATTGGGCTCTGACTTCACTGAAAATGATGGAGATCTGCTCATTTCAAGTTATTTCAATTCCTCCAAATTAAATTAAAGAACCACCCCGTTCAACATAGCCATACTAAAATTTCACTTCTATCATCTCATGTGCCCAAAACAATAATTGTCTCACCAATTGATACCTGACAAAAACAACCAATCAGACAAGGACTCCATATTGTTTCTTTTTGCTTTTGACTTCATTCAACTCTCAAAAAAGAAACATCTTAGTCCAAAAATTGTAAGATTTAACTAGAGATAAGACAATTGAACAACATCTATTATGTGAATATTACATATATACACAAATGCATATGTTAAAATTCAATGCACAGGCATTGCAATGAATTGGAAGTAAATATTAACTAATTTAAAACGCAAAACCTTCAGAAAAACATCTAAAAGAAAAAACTGAATACTTTAATCACCTCATTTTCGTGGAAGGAAAAAGAATTCAGGAAAACCTTACAAAATTTATATGGAACCGAAGAAAGCTAAATGCATTAAAAGAAAAAATAACAATACCAGAAAGATTTGCATTGAATTCAAAGTATATTCACTTCAATTCCATGAAACTACAGAAAATAAGATTTAAATTCAGAAAAACAAATAATGGGTATCGAAGAAATACCTCCATTGAACAGACCCAGGAGCTGAAATCTGAGGAAAAAGTTTCCAGATCGGTTGAAAATAAGTAGATAAGTGGTCCGAGAGAGAGTCAATCGAGAAAGGTCCTTTACAGTTCGGCAGGGTTGAATTATTTTTGTTAGATTCGAGCTGAAAATTATGGATTATTATGACAGAAGAGAAAGATTGTCCCTTTGAAATCGGGTTAACGAAATAGGTTATTATTAGGTTTCATTTTACTGCGGGTCGTTCTACTTTTGGGAGGTTTTTTAAATTCTTTTTTTTTTTTTCTCTCTCTCTCTTTTAATTGTCCCATCCCCACTTTTTCATGTTATGGTACTAACTCCGTCCTATTTTATGTGTTTAGTTTGATTAACGAAATTTGATTGAAATTATTTTTAATTTAATTTTTCATAATATTAAGTTTAGTATTAGTATACAAAATTTATATATTTAGAAACTACACTAAAAATATTATTAAACACAACAAATCAAATTTAAAAATAAATAAAAAAATAATAAAGAAATTAAACAGTAAGTATGACAGGCTAAATAAAGAGTTGGTTTGACCAATAAATAGTAAGTATGACAGATAAAATGAGACAGAGAGAGTATTTGTTTTTTCAGTCCGCAGGGGTTTAGCTTAATAATTTAGGAGGTAGTATTTAGGAGACAAAATTAAAGTTTAAACCGCGGTAACGACAGTGTAAGGATTATGTCAAAAGTAGGCAGATCTTTTGTGCGCACCAACATTTAGCCTGCCTATTGAACCATGATTTACATTTTTTCAAATTCTGTATCGGACTGAGATGTGGAGGGTCATTGGGGTTGGGGATTCAACCTTTTGGAAGAAGAAGTATTTGTTTTTTCCTTTGGTAACCAAAACATATAGTATAATTGTACCAAATTAAAAAAATAAAATAAAATAAAACATATTGGTAACTGTACAAGAACATTTTCAATGAAAATGCCTGCATAAAAGTCATAAAATATGATTTATAATTTTTCTATTTTTCAATGTTTTAATTTCTTTTAGATTTTTTTAGTTAAATTTAAAAATATTCAAACGATTATTCTAAGGTTTTACATATGATCATCGATTTTTTGTTGAAATGTTATCTGTTTAGTTGAATATTTACCTAATTTGACAATTCGTTAAACATTGATGTTTCAGGACTTACTTCTTTTTTTTTTTTTTTTTTTTTTTTTTTTTTTTTTTGCTGCAGGCAATCAAAAATCATGGGTTTACAAATCAGCTTCTCAAGCTTCAATCATCTATTCATACCTCTCTAAAATTACCAATGTTGCAAAAGTCGCGCCTAAGAGGTAAGCGGTGACCGGCCACTTAGAAATTCGGCGGAATCGCCGTTCTAGTCAGTCGGCAGCCTAGGCGCTGAGTAGGTCGTCGTGGACTAGGCGGCTTGGGCGGCGGCCTAGGCGGGAGTTTAACTAATTTTTTTTTTAAAAAAAAATGGGCGTCTAGCGATTTTTTTAACCTTGAAAATTACACTTTCATAATTAAGAGCCAATAGGAATTGGATGTTAGGAAAAAATCTATTTAAGCATTTAATAAAATATTGGCCTAGGATGTGCTAATGCCAATATATAGAATCAAATTCCAATAATAGTGCTAATGCTAATGGTAAAAATAGGCATGTCGATTTCTAACCACAACAATAACTGATAAGTGTTTAAGTGTTCATATTTTCACCGAATGTTTAATTTCGTTTTATTCAAAAATTGCTTCAATAATCTTGTATGAATTATAGCTTAGTTGTGTCGTTTTCATCTCTAGATAGGTAGAATTAATCGCAACTAAGAAGAAATTAAAGTGTTATGGAGCAATTCCAATCAATTTTTTAGCCAAGAAATCCACTGAAGAGTGCTAGACTGCTAGGAAGCAATTTGGAGTTGGATGGAGTAGTAGGTATGGGCTAATGCACGCCATGCCTTGTACATTGTGCATTAGTCATCTCTATCACCGAGTTTTGAAGCACAATAGAAAGCAATATACAAGATAGTATGCGTTGGTGCATAGAAATTTAATTATATTATTCATGATGAGACACAAATAGCTATCCTAGTACCATGACTTTGGGAATGACTATTCCTATTACAAAAGAAATAGGCCCTGTTTGGTAAAAAAATTGGTCGATAGGTCAATTTTGGCTTATTTGACCACTATTAATTATTTGATTTAGTTAAAATATCAATATAAGTGTTTGGTTAATTAGCTTTTTGCAACTCCAAAATGCTAAAATTTAAAAAGTTACTCCAAGCAACTTTTTCAATTAGCTTTTTCAGAAAAGAAATTATATCAAACAGCTACCAGCTAACAGCTAACAGCTAATTTACCAAACACTTTTTTACAACCGCTAATGTTATCAACTAGTTATACCCTCTAATTAACACAATAGGCTAACAGTCATTTACCAAATAGGGTCATAGTCAATTTCATAGAATTATCAATGTTGAAAAAATCGCTAGGCGCCCTCTAGGTGCCTGGGGACCGCCTAGGCCCGATTTTTGCAAGACTAAGAATTATATTTCATGGCATAAAAAGAGAACCAAGTAGAAGAATAAACTTATTCCATATTTCTTATCTATTCTACCAACCAAATTAAACTCCACCTAAGAGTTTACATACATCCATTAACAACAGCAATATATATTCTAGAAGACTAAATCACACCAAGCAACTTCTGCAAATCATGAAGAAATTAAACGACCCAGTAAACAGCAGAACTACTAGAGATAAATAATAATAATAAATAATTGATTGATTAATCTATTTATTCATTTTCTAGATAGAGAAGAACATTTGTATAGACCGGGAAGGTGTTAAGATATCTCCTTGGTCATAACTACTAAAACCAGAGGACATAAAAAAGGGAGCGTCAGCTTTAAGACTTAACAATTCAAGTAACTAACTGAATTGTGTATGTTTTACACCTTATCCATTTCTCTCTATACATACATTATATTTTATATACACTCACATATATGCATGCATATATGTATAATATATTAAGTAGAAAGAGTTATCTTAACTGGTTAGGATTGAAAATATGACAAGCTGAGAATGAATTGATCGAATAACTAAAGGAATTGAAAGCTTTGAAATGAAGATTGTGAATGCACAAAATTAAATACAATGCTAGCTGGTTAGTCTTTGGTTTGGTAAGCAATTTTAATTTAACATCTTTAATTTGTTTATACAAACTATAAAACATTACATTTATTTTTGTACGTACTCCATTTATCCCACTTAATATGTCATACACCGAAAAAATTTATATATTTTAAATTATATTAACAAATCTATTAAACACAAATCAAAATTAAAACTAATAAGAAATTATTTAAATACATTATTAGATTGTACTTGTAACAATTTATCTTTATCACAAAATTTTGAGGTGGCCAAGGCTATACATTTAAACATATTAATACATATAATAACTACAAAATAAATAAACACATATACATGCATAACATTGCAAAACAAAACAAAAACAAAAACAAAAAAAAAAAAAAAATAAAAAAAAAAAAAAAAAAAAAAGGATGATTGGAGCCCATGCCAGCCCATCTCTCGCATTGTGACCTTATCTGACCTTGTAACCCTAGCGAGCAAAAGACCACAAAAAAGGTAAACCAATCAACTGTCTTATCAAATTAGATGAGGTTGTTTCACATGATCTTTTATGTAATTAATAGGTAATAAGCTAAGGTTGGTCAATTCATATGTAAGTATGTAACCAATAAATATATAAAAGTGCATTCAAAAATAAATATATAAAAGTATTTTTAAAATAAGAAAATAAATTAATATTTAAGGTAAAATTAAAAAGAAAAATATAAATTTTCTAATTAGACTGGATTTTATATAAGGAATAAGGTCCAAATTGGCCCCTAAACGAAACGTGAAAGTGCAATTAGGTTCCTGAACGTAAAAAAAAAGTGCAATTACCCCCCTCAACACCTCAAATATGTGCAATTTGACCTGATAGCAGGTTAACATCCCATCTAGCAGGTTGCATGTGTGACGTGGATGATGACTTGACATTTTTTTTTGGAAGGATGACTTGGCATTTTTTTTTATTTCCTTCTTTTGTCTTATTCTTTACAAAACAACTAACTCTAGCAGTTGTAATATTCCATCATCGATATCTTCTCTCAAATTTACAAGCAGGATAAATTTCATGAAAAAATATTCAATTTTACATAGTTATATTAACAACGAACAAGTTAATAGCTTTCACGGGCGTGGTTTGGGAATTTCTGATGCAGGTACATGGTGAATGGAATTTCTGATGCAGGTACACGATGAATGGAATTTCTGATGCAGGTTTGGGAATTTTGATGCGTGGTTTGGGAATTTCTATTGAAGCTTTGCCTTAATACACGGTGAATTGAAAAAAAGGAAATAAAAGGAAATTTTTTTAAAAATGCCAAGTCAGCATACACATCATCATATAACGGGTTGGATGGAATGTTAACATGCTATCAGGTCAAATTGCATATATTTGAGATGTTGAGGAGGGTAATTACACTTCTTTTACGTTTAGGGACCAAATTACACTTTCACGTTTCGTTCAGGGACCAATTTGAACCTTATTCCTTTATATAATTATTACTTGTCAGAAGAAATCACTCTTCAAACTAGGAGTATAAATTCAACATGTGTGACGAGGTTGCATAGTTCTTCGTGACCAAAAAAAAAAACGAAAATAAAAAGTGAGTCGTCGAAACTGTTACGAGAAGTTACTTATGGCTTTGTCTAGCTTGAATTGGATGGATTCAGTTTTCTTGTCTATCAGTAAAACCTACTAGAAATGTTGTATCACTCTATTATTACTATTTTGTCCGCACAAAAACAATCATTATTGATCTACACAGTTGTGTGGATCATACTATCATATAATATGCATTCAGTACATAAATAATGTTCTTTTAATATATTAAAAATATACATTGTATTCAGGAAAAGTACATTATTTGAGTACTAAAAGTATATATTATTTTGTATAATGTATATTTAGTACACGAGTAATGTACTTTTAGTATACTAAAACTGTATTTTTGTTATGATCCACACAATAATTTGCACACAAAAATAAAATGACATTAAACCACAAAACTTTTTTAGCCATGAAAAGAATATTAATAATATGCTTCCAATTATCAAATAATAATAATAATAATAATAATAATAA